AAAAAAAAAAAAAGCAAAAAAGCAGAATACCTCAGACCTTCTTCCCTCACTTCTCCTGCTTTGAGAAAATTTGCCTATGCTACAAACCCCATTTTTAAGGGTTTCTGAGCCGTATTCTCTGCTCAACCCGTTATGCCTTCCCCATGAAGAAAAACATTAAGTTACTGGTTAGACACGGACCGGGTGTGAAACTCCCCAAAGGAGGAGACGGCAAACAATGCTGGGGCAGGGCAGCCATGTGGTACGCTATAGAATAAGCTGGATGGGCCTCAACCTGCCTCGCTGCAGCTGCTGTGCAAAATAAGGATCCCATTATCGCTCTGATCATTTTCATTTTACTTGAAGACTCTTACAACTCTCACAACACTGTATCTACTGCTGTCACATAACTGCTGTGGAATGGTAATTCTTACTCAAGTATCCCTAAGGAGTGTTTTCACCTGCATAATACTTTGTACCAGAATTCAGTTTCAAGGTCCTCACAGCTCAAAAAATACTTTAAAAAACCCTTTTGGGGTAAAACATCATTGTCCATAATTTAAAAGTAAGCATCTCTGTAACTAGAAGAGAAGGTAATAGCTTACAAAAGGCAGGAAGAATAGTGACTGTTCAGCACCTCCAAAGAGGTTAGTTTTATTTACACGTACATATTCCTATGTCCTAGCATTCAATCATAACTCCCTTGAACATACACCCTTATCGAAACCTCTACTCAGGGATCAAGCTAACCTTTAGATTCTGGGGTTAAAAATCTTTATAGATTGAAAAATCATGAATCACCGTCTTCAAACACTTGCTTCTCTTATAGCACAAAACTATGAGTCATGACAGGGTGTTGAGAGCAAAGCACAGTATCCAGTTTATAGGAAGCACCCCAAAGAGCCCAAGCCCTTAGCCTTCTGCGATCACCCACTCCTGCAGCCAAACAGGGGAGTCTAAGACACAGCACAGAGGAGTTGAGAGAACTTTCACTGTAGATCACTACTGAAGGTACTGTCTCCTCCAGTAGCAAGGGGGGAAAACTTATGTAAAGAGAAGAGTGGAGCTGGACAAAATCTAGGAGTTTAATAAAACTGTATGTATAGCTTCCCCAAGCCAGTTCCTGATGAAGCCATAGGACGCCCTAGACCAGTGGTTTGCAGCAAGACAAGCAGACTTTGTGGGTCAGACATAACTCTAACCCTGGTGGATGAGCTCAGAACATACAGGAGCAACCTGGGCACTGGTGCTCTTGGACCAAAGCCCAGGTGCAGCCGAACAGGTCTGGCTAGAGTTGGCCTTGCTCATTAGCCTCTTTGTACCACTGCAGCTGTCAGCTTTAAGCTACACACTGCAAGGCTCTGAGCCTCACTAGTGCTCCCTTCTGGTTGTGCAAGCTTCACTTAAGAGGGCACCTAGACCAGGAAGAGATCAAAGCCAAATCTCAGTAAGCACAGACATGGTATAAAACTCCCCAGCACTGGCATTTGCCAGTCTTGTTCTGCCTGCCACTTTACATTAGGTGATGACACTGGTTCAATTCTAAACAGCACCTGAAGTAACCACTTGGTAACAGGCAGAATCTCCTACATAAACAGGTTTAGCTAAGAGATGTTTGTGCACAAGGTACATAAACTAGCAGCAGTCCTAGGACTGCACTCAGGACTTTGCCCCTCAGATAATAATAGCCTGTTTAGAAAAACAGCAAATGTCATTCAATGTCATTGGCCATTGTTCAGCCTTCTCAAGCCCACAGGAGACAACCAGCATAGTAGATACCATCAATGTATTTCACTGCATTTAGGGGCTGAACATTGAAGAACAAGCGTTAACATATGCCACAGTGAACACTAGAGAAGATGCCACCCCCAGCAGAGCTGACACAGGAGAAACATAGCCACTTCAACCACTTTCAGATTTCATAGTGTGTCACCACTGGTGGCTCTTTGTTGGGGTCTCCTCCTCTCTCCAAATACAGGTCGTTGAAGGGATATTGCTTGGGTCCCTACAAGGGGAGAAAAAGCAGCAAATTCACCAAGCAAATTAAGGGGTAAGGAGAAAATGTCTCATCCCATCCCACCTCCACCCAAATCAGGGTTTTCATGTACGACTTACATTGCTATTTTTTATGTGCTTCAGTAGGAATATGAGAGTACAGGGAAAGTAAATTCAGAGATAGAGTCCTTGGTATAAACCCATGTCCTTTAGCAGAAACATCAAGATGGTCTTGTATTTATCTTAACCAACAGTTCATCTCACAGCATGAGGATAATATATTGTAAAAGCTTTTGTGTATTCAGACGTATTTTTCAGAAGCACATTCCAAACGATCCAGATCATGACATATAACTAAAAACACAGGGTAAGAGAAGAGATAAAGCATCTCCCTCGAGCAGAGGCACATAGGGAAGGAGAATGCCTAGACCAAAGAAGGGATACTGCAAGAAGCATAGCTTAAAATTGGTTCCCTAATTTTCAGTGAACAGGGACTGCTCATTATGAAACAGAACCTGTGAGCGGAGCCAAGCCAGTCAACAGGACAACTCAGGCCAGATGAGGCCACAGGACACCCCTTGGCCAATCCCCTGCCAGCAGCAGGGCTTTGCATTCACACATCAGTCAGCTTCAGCAAAACCACTCTTCTGGGCATTGGCAGTGACAAGAAACACAGCTACTTTTTCTCCCTTTCCCCAAGGGCATCACTCACCACAGGCCTGTAAGATGGATAGATCTCTCCAAGACCAAACATGATCAGCATGGTACTCAAAAAGATGAGGAAGTGTTTGCGCATGGTGTGCCAGGGAACTGGAGTCGGGGAAGTATCAACACGGTTCCGAAGATACATGTCAAAGTCCCAATGCATCTAAAGAACAAAGGAAAATGGCTGCACATGTACCAACAGTGCTCAAGCTGCATTTAGCAAGGGAAGAAGTGCTTTGCAGCACTCACAAAACTGTCAGAAGCTGTTTCATCTCCATCTCCCGAGCAGAGACAAAGCCACGAAGGAGGTAAGTGATTTACCTACAGTCACAGCAAGTTGTCACTTACAGTAAAACTCAGGACTCGAAATTCTATGCTACGCTTATACCAGGCAATATGCTTAATTATAGGATAGCAACAGCTTTTATTTATATACCTAGTCACTCAACCTTAGATTTGTTCCCCAGCACTGTTGAAAAGACATGGTATAAATCAGTACCCCCATTTATGGAAGTTCAGTCACATACCCAAACAGAAGTAACAGCATTATTTCAAACAAAGAAGCAACTACCTGCCACTCAGAAGCTGCTTCCTCAAAACAGGTAGAGCACTTGCTGCTGTTAATCCATGACAAGAGCAGGGCTGGTAGCAAGCTAATGCCCTTCCTGATTGAAGCAGAATGGCATTTAAGCTTCTGCCTTGAAGTATACATAGGGAAGTCCCAAGCACGTTCTGCCTACAGTCTCCTTTCATATTAATGAAAGCAGAGAACTCATTAATTTGCCACTCCAGTACTGTCTCTAGCTCCCTAGCTTTCCCCTTTGCACACAGAGCCGTTTGCTATCAAACCCAGAGAGCCAGACTGAGCAGAATTCAGTTGCCTGAACAAAGGCATCTGCTGACACCTGGAATGCACCCGTATATTCCACTTGGTCCCCCACTGCCAACCCCACGAGCAAGAAGCCTCCTGTACCGCACACCATAACAACACAGAATCACCACAGTTTTCTTCATGTGCTTCTACAGTCATTACAACATGCACTTTACTGCAGTACACATACTATGATGCTCTGGCATGTTTATACTACCTTATATTACAGACATATGCTTACAGAATCTCTACTTTTAGTAAGGAGAGCTCAAGTCAATTACTGAGCTCAGTAATCACAGTTAGATTGCAGTCATTGACAGAAAGACCAGGCACTAACTGGAAAGTTTCTCCTGACAAGGAGTTTGAGGAATTTAGATCTTGAAAGTTAACATAGGTGGTCTATTCATCCATTCCTCTTAAGGATATCTTGCAAACTTTCCTCAGTGAAAACCTCCTTATTTGTATTCTATCCCAAAACAACCTTTTAGTAACAAAGCAGTAATAGCTACTTCCATTGTACTAAAAGCACTTTACGCAAACAATGGCTTCTTTGCTAAAGGATTCTGAATTAAGCTCTCGTACTCAGTCAGATTAGGCAAAGAAAATGGATGAGACTTTCCTGTTCCTACAAATGAGCTTGAGTTTGTTAAGTCTTCCTCTTTGTATCTAGTAAGATATTAACATTCCCCAGCATTTTCAAAGTATTTACCCTGGTGGCCATAGCCCAAGTTTCCCTCCAACTGACTGTCCCTGCTTGCACAGGCAACATACACCCGCACTTGGGGATGCAATTACACAAAGAATTAAACAGAAAGCACTAGCATGATGTACATGTTAGTATTTAGTAACAGTAGCATTGCAATCATAATGAAGAGTGTGCATTCCTACCGGCTGTCCCCAGTTATGCCTCATGTCTGGCTGGTCCCACTGGTACCAGGGGTCTCTCTCATGAAGAGACTTATCAGGGAGCTTGGGATAGTCACCATACCTGTGAGAAACAGACAAAATAACAAACAGAAGAAATTTTTATTAATTTTGATACATTTTGTAGGAGACACTATTAGGATAGGCCTATGGAAATGGGAGACTTAAACATTACCTTGTTTTTATAGCTCCTATGTATATACATTTTTTTAAATACATACATGCAACTAGCACAACAATCACCACCTCGATAGCAGTCATTGTAACAACGAGCGCTCCTCAAAGTCACCTTTTCAGGCTATACTAACTGGAAGAAAATGCAAGCTTAACTGAAATACAGAACCCTAGACATCAAGCATTTTGCACATGCCAAAGTATTCCCCAACACTTAAACACCTCCTGAAATCTTTATTCCAGAGGTGCCTTTCAGTTCACCCCTCTTAGCCACACATTTCCACAGCATACAAAGTTCCTCACGCAGTATTTTATTCACACAGGCCCCCAACTCATTCCACGTGTTCCTGTTTTAAAACACGGATGTGCCCATCCAAAGCTCTAAGCTCACAGCATCTCCAGGCATTCCACAGAGACCACCGGCCCGCAGCACGGCCCCACCGAGCCCGGAGGTGCTGGCCTCGGCCTGCTCTGCGCTGCAGGGCCACGGGACCCCCCAGAGCCCGGAGGTGCTGGCCTCGGCCTGCTCT